TTACGTCAGAGTAACGAGCTCCGCCCACTCGCTGCACAGCCACAGTTCGTTCTCCAGCTCCTCACACTAAATTCCCAAACTGTCATCACCACTGAGCAGCTTTTCAGTCGGCAGCTGTGACAGAAGAACAGCTGAACAACCTGGAATCAGCCAGAAATGAACCCAACACCATTCGCCAAACTAAACGGGCTGTAAGATGCTTTACAGACTGGCTGGAACAAAACAACATTAATACTGATCTGGCAAAAATTGACAAAACTGAGCTAAACTTGATATTGCGGCAGTTTTATGGTTCAGTCTGATTTGGTCAGACTCTGAAGATCAGACTACACGTTTGGTGAATGGTATTGGGTTCATTTCTGGCTGATTCCAGGTTGTTTAGCTGTTCTTCTGTCACAGCTGCCGACTGAAAAGCTGCTCAGTGGTGATGACAGTGTGGGAATTTAGCGTCGTCTCATCTTCAGAGTCTGACCAAATCGGCTGTCGGTCAAATGTGATCTTAAAAGCGTCCATTTTCTGTTTGTGGCAAAGTAAGAAGTGAAAACGGTCAAATGGCTTGAGTGTCTCCTACAGCCGTCAAAGTCGTTGCTTAGCAACAGCGTCTCAGTGGAGTGATACAGTGTTTGTGAAAAAAACGTGATGTTGTGGCGAAATATCAGCACGGTTAGAACGCCTCTCAACCAATCAGCTTGCGTGGCCGTAACTAACTGTTGTATAAAGTATAACAATGCAACTTCACTACCCCTGTTCCACATAGCGCTTGCTTTGCCCTACACTGCTCCAGCACTACAGCAACACTATTTTTCTCACCAACAAAGCATATTAGAATGTGAATTAGGGAGAGAGAGACTGAGCTCCCATCAGTGGAAGTTAATAGATCACCCCATCAGAAAGGAGGAAATTACCTCCCGTGCGAGTCTCTCTCCAGTGATTAATTGATCTGAAGAAAAAAAGAAGGCGGAAAGAGTGAGGCTGATGGGTACCGGAAGAGAGGTGAACGAGTCCACGGACCACACGGCTAAATCTGTGGCCCAATTTGACCACTGCCGAGATACAACATTCTTATCTGTGTAACCGCGATCTGTCTTTGTCAAACTGTTCCTCTATCTGATCTCAAAAATACATTCAAACCCAGCGTCAAGACATCAGATGCAACAGCATTTCTATTAGGAAGGAGACAGAGAGTCATTTATTAAGCTTTAATAATTAAAACTACATGATTGGCAAATGTATCGAGCACCAGAGCTGCACAATGTTTTTGCTTAGAACTGAGACCGCAGTTCTTATGATGCTTGGGATGTTTTCATAAAGGTAGGACAAAAGGTGTGAAAAAAATATTACGAAAACAAATTTTATAAATATAATCAAGTAAACAAATAGAATTACAAATAAATTACTGCAGAGCGGTGCTGCTTCTGCCACAAAACACTGAGTGCATTTACATGCACTCAATAATCCGATCATAATCGGATATCTGCAGTTATCTGATTATTCAAATGGTCATGTAAACAGCACACTCCCTATTTCTTAGATCGGAGTAAGACCTAGAAATCCGATGAAGAAAGCTGGATTTTAGCTCAGTAATCAGATTTCTCGGTGCATGTGAGCTCTTACTCTGATTTCTTTCGGATTTCTCAGTCGGCGCGTGTGCGAAAACAGGCGGCGGTACCGGAAATAAGCAAGCAGCGCTGTGCCGAGACACTGAAACCGACTACATTCTCGATGAAATGAAGGATTTAAATATGCTTCATCTTCTAGACGATGCATGTTCATTGTTTCAGCTAAAGTGGCGCGATGATGAAAAGCTGAGGCATGAGTTGGATGTTACGTTTACATCACGTCTTCTTCTGTGAGTTTATTGGCCGGTTACAAAGTAGAAATCTGATTACTGTCTGACTCATGTAGACCTGGAGTTTTCCATTATCTGATCACTCAAGTCCAAGTAAACACGTTGATCAGATTAGTGACAAAATCTAATTTTCTGCAGTTATCAGATTATTAAGTGCATGCAAATGCACTCACGGTTAAACATTAATTTTTTGACATCTTTTGAAAGTAGCAGCTTCCTTCTACATATGAAAGTTCCAAGATAAATGGAAAAATGGAAACTGTCCAAAATTAATATAAAATCTTTATATTAACCCCCAACGAAAGTTAGCTACACTTTTGGAGATGAGAGATTTTTGTCTGACAGTGACCATATATTTAGATTAGATTGGATTCTTATATTGTCCTCCAGAAAGGAAATTTGTTTTACACAGCCTGTGCCATTCATACATTGTTCTCGGACATACAAAATCAGACATTTGAAAAATTTCATACATTCGGGTAAACATTATCAAGACAGAGTACAAGCAACAAGACCTGTCCATAAGACGCACATTTAAAGACATGAGGCCTACATATATACATCAGTTACTCTTTTTGAGAGCAGGCTTTAGATCAGAGGTCACTAATAGGCGGACCGCTGTCCGAGTCCGGACCCAGACGCTGTCCTATGCGGACCTGGACCTATAACCGATAAACTGTGGAGAATTATTTAATTTCGACGGGGTGGGGGGTCCTATTTTATCCGGCATAGCTTTCCAGTCATTACGGTAGCTTTAGCGGCCGGGAAACTCACAGACCAATTGCATGCGTTGTAAATGTCACACGTGACGCTACTCAGCCAATCAGATCTGTGCATTACGATAAGCACTGAGACTCGAGTGAGTGACGCACACACAGGGAGGGACGAGGTGAGAGACAGCAGTCGGAGAAGAAAGTGAGTCAGAGGGAAGTTATTTCACACGGCTGCTCTAAAAACAGAAAACTGACAATAAATGTTGTTGAAATATGACTGAATTGCACTTTATTTGATTTGACATTCAGTTGTTGACTGTATAAGATGTTGATATACCTACTAGGCTACTTCAGTAAACAGTATATGGCACTGAATCATGATGCAAGTTAGACATTATGATGTTCCGGATCTTTGCTTGAGAAAATTTTCTCTAACAGGATCGTATTGAATTTTAATTAAACACCACTGCTTTAGAACATCTATTCCAACAGGGTAGCTTGTTAAGGGCTGATATGGCTGAAGGTATGAAACTTTTTGTAAAGCAGGCTTTTAATTTTTTTACACACTAATGTTCTGTATCTCCGGTCTGGAAGTAAAGTAAAGAAGAAAGAGTGCAGTGGGTGATCTGGCCCTTGTGCTACTGTGATGGCCTTACATAATAATAATAGCCTTATTGCCTATATTTGATAGGTTGTGTGTGGGAAAGCCCATGATTTGTGATTTACTGTCCACAAAGGGAGATTCAGACTAAAAACGTTTGAGACCTGCTGAATTAGGCAATGCCATGTACACTGGTGGTCTTTGGGTGCGTTTACATCTATAGTTTGGTTCTCCTGGTCCAAACCAAAAATCAATATTACGATGCACTTTATTTCTACACTCTTAAAAAAATGGTTCTTCAAGGTTCTTTAGTAAAGGCAATGGTCCAATATAGAACCATGAGTTCTATACAGAACCATTTCATGCTTAAATAGTTCTCTGCATGGTAAAATTGTTCTTCAGATTGATGGAGAACGTATATGGTTCTATATTGTACTGAAAGTGTTCTTCTACTGTTACAATGTCAAGCTTGTAATAATAGAAGAACGCTTTTTGGTGCTACACAGAACCATCTACAGCACATTCTCCATCAACCTGAAGAACCCTCGATGCAAAGGGTTCTTTGCGTGTTCACGGTTCTATGTAGAACTATTTTCTTTACTAAAGAAACCTTGAAGAACCATCTTTTTTAGGTGTTTACAAGCTTGATATTGTAATATATGAACCCTTATTGGTGCTATAAAGAACCATTTTCAAAAAGGTTCTGTATAGAACCATATATGACGCATTCTCCATCAAGTTCATTCCGTGTTTGGCGGGTTCTATACAGAACCATTTCATGCTTAAATAGTTCTCTGCATGGTAAAATGGTTCTTCAGATTGATGGAGAACATATATGGTTCTATATTGTACTGAAAGTGTTCTTCTAGTGTTACGATGTCAAGCTTGCAATAATAGAAGAACGCTTTTTGGTGCTACACAGAACCATCTACAGCACATTCTCCATCAACCTGAAGAACCCTTGATGCAAAGCGTTCTTTGAGTGTTTTATATAGAACTATTTTCTTTACTAAAGAAACCTTGAAGAACCATCTTTTTTAGGTGTTTACAAGCTTGATATTGTAACAATATATGAACCCTTATTGGTGCTATAAAGAACCATTTTCAAAAAGGTTCTGTATAGAACCATATATGACGCATTCTCCATCAAGTTCATTCTGTGTTTGGCGAGTTCTATACAGAACCATTTCACGCTTAAATAGTTCTCTGCATGGTAAAATTGTTCTTCAGATTGATGGAGAACGTATATGGTTCTACACTGCACCAAAAGTGTTCTTCAACTGTTACGATGTCAAGCTTGTAATAATAGAAGAACCATTTTTGTTGCTACACAGAACCATCTACAGCACATTCTCCTTCAACCTGAAGAACCCTTGATGCAAAATATATAGAACTATTTTCTTTACTAAAGAAACCTTGAAGAACCATCTTTTTTAGGTGTTTACAAGCTTGATATTGTAATATATGAACCCTTATTGGTGCTATAAATAACCATTTTCAAAAAGGTTCTGTATAGAACCATATATGACACATTCTCCATCAAGTTCATTCTGTGTTTGGTCCATTTAGATGTGTTCAGTCTGTATCCTCTTCAATCTTCAAATGAACCACAACAGAGTTTGTTTGGAAGTGGACCAAGAACGACCTCCTCGGGGGGGGCGGCGTGTTTGGAGCGCACAATTGGCAGCATTTTCACTAACGATCCGCACTAACAGAGCAATCGCACCAATGTTTGTTTTAATCTAACCAAACCGGCCAAATGTGAACATACTCTTAGCGCGCTTTGTACGCAGACAGTGGTGTTTCCTGAAGGCCGAGGTAGCTGTTCTACACTCACCACTGTTGGAGCTCCTGTTGTGCCTTGTATTTCTCCTCTTCCAGGCCTTTCTGCAGCTCTTCAGCGATCTTCCTCCTCAACTCTGGCTCATTCACTGAAAATAATAAACAAGTACAATTTTAACACAGAGACAATGGGCTTGTGTATATGATCATAGGTTTGTTGTTGTTTCCTGAAGTTAAAGTGGATAACACCTGTGTGAAATAATCAGGGATGTACGATGATACTGGAATCACATCCCATAACATAAGTTTTTAAATCAATATTTGATCATATATTTATTGTAATCTGATAATATTTCTCTGTAATGCTAACCCAGGTAGATCTAGAGCCAATTTCTACATTTTCTAAATGGTTATGTATTGACATATGTACATAAAAACAGTGTGCACATACAAAAAATGTCTGATAACTGTTTAATATGAAACAATGGGTTCAATAAAGCACCACTAGGCACCAATAACCTCAAGGCACCAAACCAGGCACTCACAGCCATGAACAACGACATACACATGCATAGTGACAAGTAGTCACTAAATAAGCCATTTCATTTAGTTTCAACTCACATAAAGCACAGTGATACATCAAAGTAGAGATTCCTCTACCAGACAGGAATGCCACTGCTACCAATCTGTCTCTGGGCAAGACTCCAAACCTTATGCTGACTTACTACCGCAAGTGTCTGGTACCTAATGTATAATATTTACTTACATAATTGTTTTTCAGTAACTGTGATGTCTGATTTAGGTAATAAATGTCTTTGGTGAACAAAAGAAAAAAACAGTTACGTCAGTATGAATATGGGCCAAAACAAGGTGTTATCGGTTATCAGCCTAGAAATTCTATATCTGTGCATCTCTATTAAAAACTCTTGTATTAAAAGCAGGCCTCTTAAAAAATGAATAAAAAAAAAGTCAACATTTAATTTAACCATTATTTCATTTATCCTAACCATCTACCTAGCAAAATGAAGAATTTAACTACTGCTATATCTGCACTTACTCGTAATCTTACAGTGGTTCAACAACAGTCCCTAGAGTGATTTTCCGGTTTAAAGATTAGAAAAAGCCTTTCTGGTAACATATCTTGAAGGTAGAAGGACATTTCAGAAATCTTCAACTGCTTTGGGTGGATTTTTAGTGCTGGTTTCGTTTATTTTATTTATTTATTTATTTTTTGTTAGCTGGTGAACGCAGATAGAAGATAGAAGAACAGCTAATGTCACTGCTGGAAAGCAGAATATTGCAGCTGTCCAACTGTAGAAATTGAGAGAACAGTGAAATGACAGTAATGACTAGCCAGATGAGAAAGACCACCAGCTAAAAACTGAAGCTAAGGTGGCTATCTAGATACTTTCTTAGATTCTAGAGTCTTTATGACTTTGTTAAGAGATACACTGATGCTAGCTTCTTTGTAATCACTAGGCTATAGATCAGTGGTCAGGCCAGCAGTCAGGATTGGTCAACACCACAGGTAATCCCAAAGGTTTTATGATGTATTAGCGTGACGCATACTGCACTGCTATTATTAAAACTACTGCGTTTGAACGTTTCAGCAGTGGACAACGTTAAAAAAGACGGAGGCGCCACATTCAGATGGCATTTAGGCCTAAATCTGCACCACTGCGCCCTCTAAGACTGTTGACTGTAGCCGAATATTCAGAAATGAGCAGGTCCGTCTCTGAAGCACTTAAAGAGCTCCATTCAATAATGCATCTGTGCTTTAACAGATGGAGATTTAATCTGTTCAAAAAATAAATAAATAAAATTAAATAAAAAAAATTTAAAAGGGCCCGGCTCCATCGCTAAAAAAAAGGAAAAAACACCAGATGGAGAGATGAGAAAATAATTCTAATAAATGTGTGCCTGATGCCTTGTTTACAACATTTTCCCTCCATTCCCAGCACTTGTAGAAACAAAATGAAAAATGAAGAAGACAGGAAAGACTGACCGACAGGCGAGAGAGAGTGTTCGGACAGGAAGTTTGACACGTTGCAGCTACATTAGCACTGCCTGCAAGACACTTCTTCCCTCTGAGCCTCGGACATAAGTCCAAAAGACTTGCTTGTCCATAACTGACATGGAAGAAATCACATGAGGAGAGAGATTCTCCTCCAGAGTCTATGACTGGCTGCTGTTTATTTGTTCTATTACTGTCAACACGTTTACAGGAATATGGATTATCTGTTCTCATATAGAGTCATTTTCTAACTGTGAAAGGAGTCAGAGGCTTCCCTGGACAGCAGTACTGACACAGTTAGAAATAATAACATTTTTATTATGAAAAGAAACTTCATTATTTTTGTATTTGTCAAAGTTCTTTAGCTTTTTTCCATTCATTTTTATTTTCAATCTATTTTCAATCAATTTATTGACTTAAATATACTTTAGAGATCATATAGATATTGGAAGATATTTGCTTAAAAAGAAATCAGTGTCACTGGACAGATGTTTAGAGGCAGATCTCACACAAGGCTAGTGGACGCTCAATGTTATGTAGCAGCCTAAATTAGACTGGCAGAATTTTTCAAACCAATATGTGATGAAGTATTTATTTCACTCAGGAACAGCAAAATGTTTATGTGTTAGATGTTTTAGATGTTTAGGATAAAGTCTCTGCATTTTATTCACTTTACTGCATTTGTAAATGTGCAGCAATCTCTATTTTTGTTGTATTTATTTTTACATAAATGCAAAATGCCAGCTGCCGTTTGAACTGTGTCCACATTTCATGACAAACGGACCAATAGAAATGGTTCAAAATGACTTCCACTGGTTCGTTACAATGACTTCCATTCAAAGTTAAGTTTGTTTCTCTTCGGTTTTGCTCTAACAGTGATGAAAATGTTACACCACTTTAAATGCTACATACACTAAACATCAATCCAGATTAAGTCGCAATTTCTACATTTTATAAACGTTCATGTATCGACATCGAGAGATGTGCACTCGGGAAATATCGGTGTCCACAATTCCGGTATCAGTGCATCCTATTATTCCAGCTTATCTTCATTCTATGTTTAATTTCCTTATCCTGTTGTGGAACTGACTACCTACTCATTTTCACCTTAATGGTTGTGTGTCTTCTTCCACATCCGACAGGTAAAAAAAACAAAAAAAACAAACAAAAAAAAAAAAAGTTAATGTTTTGCATTCCCTCACAAAAAAATGCGTTCTCTCGCAAAATGTATGCTCATCAGACAGCAAGCTAACACAGGACCCGAGGTGCCCAACGACACTGCCTACATTAGAGCTTTGTTTTTAGCATAGCTAACGTTAAAAGCTGTTTTCCCAGTTTGGCCAGTCTGTGCTGAGTTTATTCAGCTGTTGTTCTTTGCATCTCTGTAAATGGAGCTTTTACTGTACGAGGACCCTCGACCTCAGTCTCAGTTTGAGCCACTAACAGCAGAATCATGTTTGATTTTGAGAAGCGACACTTTGTCGTTATATTTCAATCCAAGATCAACATAAAATTTAAATGAGCTGCTCCGTCTCTGAACTAAAGCAAAGCACAGCTTTTGCAAGGGAATGGAAACCGTTTGAATTGGAATGCAAAACATTTGCGAGGGAACGGAAAACATTTGCGAGGGAACGCAATGTCATTAAGTTTTGTTTTTTTTATTTTTACGGGCTCCGTAAAAATCAGAATATACTGTCATCTGAGAAATATTCTACAATTCACTTGTCCACACTGCGAGGTTGGACAGGCTTTATAAAACCTGACAAAAATCCTACAAAACCTACTGAGACGTTGCAGCAACAACTCAGGACAGATTGTGTAAAAAAAACAGACGTTTGTATGCGTGTATATTTTTTTTCACGGTGTAATTGTGCTAAACAGCAGCAAATTACGTGCCATTTCCAGCCTGATTCAACTGCCTCGCTCTGCGTTTAAACTGGAAACTAGGCTTCAGCTGACTGAGGAAAAAGACAATCACAGATATTATGACTGCGTTGAAGCTGAAGGAGATGAAGTTGGAGCAAATAAAGTGCCATTCAAGCTTCAGGATGTATTATATGAATCAGATTTGCCCGATAATCTGTGTTTTCCTTTATTTGTAGTCAGTATACCCGTCCAAATATGCTGTCTGTCTTTAAAACTCTCTATAAAAGAAGCACTTCTTTGGTTTCTTTGGTTTGTTTTCCATGAGAGGGCTTGCTAAACAGAGTGAGCCATTCTACAGCCTTTCATGCACAGGCAAGCTTCTCTATGGCATCATCACATTACTGTGCTGAGATGATCTCACAAGTCTACTGGACGCTCAATATGACGTAGGAACCTAAAATAATTTGGGGAATTTAGTGTTCTGTAAAGCTTGTTCAACCTTGCAACAGTTGCTACAAGAAATTTCAAGAAATTTCTTCTGAAAACTCACGTAGTTTTCACGAAGACTCTGACATTCACCGGCGTTTTTGCATTTGGGATTTGTTCTTAGGTAAGAACAGAATCGACACACACTCGAGAGCACAAAGGTGAGAACAGTTCTGCGCTTTAAGAACACTTATGATCTTGCCAAAATATACTTAACGAAAGGACACGAACGCAAATAACAGCGTGTGGCCAACGCACTGCAAACGCTCGGTCCTTCTGTACAAACTCTGTGCGTTCTTACGTTGCTGTGCAGTACTGAAGGGGGCAAAAGAGGGCAAATCAGACAGGGATCTACTGCTATTCCAACAGCCTCAAGAGCTGAACGCGGACAGGAGAGGAGAGTGAGCTGCTTTACCTCCTCTCTTCGATTAAAATGCGATAATTAATCATATTTTTATGCCGTCTTTGCGTGAGACTCAACTGCTCGTCTGCTATGGCAGTTGAGAAGCACGCTGGCGGTACAAGACCGCTTGCTCAGGCTTGGCTGTCGTTATAGTGCCCCCTGCTGTAACGCTCACATTGCGTTATGAAATGCACTGTGACACATTTTTGAACGCAACTATGCGTGAAACCCTGTCTGAGCAGCTCGAAGCGTCTGCGTTCGCGTCGTTGCGTGAAGTATGTTTCAGGCCTTGGAACCTTTACCAAGAATAACTTAATAATAATGAATGAGGCTCACTGGTTTTGTATAGAGCCATGAACACTCAAAGAACCATTTGCATG